CATAGCACCCCTGGTGTGCGCTAGCCCACTCGGCCACCGATCCCCGGTGCGGAATGCACTTTGCAAAAGAACTGCGGTTGCTCGCCGTCAGCACGCACTCAGCAGCCGCGCACACACCTATGGCGGCAGGTGAATACTCCCTATAGACGCTTTGTACAAACGCCGGAGAACAGCCGCCATTGCTGACCTTCTTTTTTCTTACCCAAATATCAAGCCACTGAAGCGAGCCATGATGAGCCTCGACAAACGCCAATGCTGGGCAGAAGAGCAAAGGCGGATCTAAAATGGCAATAACCTGTCCTGTTGTGGTAATGATGGAGCGAAATGATCAATATAAAAGGAAACAAAATTGAAGGTCGGCAATGGCGGTGCCCATGCACAGCTGCTGCAAAGTGTTTCTATACTTCGTTTCAGCTTCGGTCCAGACGCAGCCGATGCTACAAGCGTGAGCATGTGGCCCAGAACAGTGCTTGCACAGCACGAGCGCGCGTGCTTGGCAGGGATGCTGAAAGCCCGGAGCTCGCGCTTGTAGCTTTGGCTGCGTCTGGACCGAAGCTGAAACGAAGTATAGACGATTGCAAGCAGGGCGCCTGGCAACCGCTGATCTGCTCGTGTGGGAAAGTACGTTCAATTGCAAGCCTTCAAATCACAAGTTCAAACCCACTGTGCACGTGCTTGCACGCATGGGACACCAGTCGGTGCCATTATGCTTGCAATAGACCGATCTCACGAGCCAGTTTGGCTACGCCACCGCTGCCGCAATGCATCGAGGGAACTTTAGTCTTTCTGCATGTGCAACAACCACGCTGGAGCTGTGCGCGTGTGGAGCACGATACGACACGAGCCCTCGCATGTGCGGCCGTCTGCCTCCCGTGAACTAGAGTTATGGCGGCGACACGCATGCACCGAACGCTTAGTGAGATCGGTCTATTGTATAGATATGTTTGAAAGAACGATTTTGCTGGAGGAAAGTCAGCCTGATTTAAAATGACACCGGAACTCTTCACTTAACACTAGAGACTGCCCAATAGCTATCAACTGCACTCCTTCTCACAAATGTCAGCAGTAAAGACAGCCACAGGAGCGTGAGCCTATACTCAGTTTCACTTTAAAATGTGTGGCCTTAAATAGGGTGTCTTCATGCGCGCTTTGCTTAGGGTGGAGACATCTGGCCATTTTGTTCCCACTTTTACATTTATTTTTTGTTCAGAAGCGCGTGAAAGAGCGTGTCCCTGCACGTGTTTGTGGCGCTGACTGTGCTATGGCGACATTTTGTTTTCGTCGATTTCTTTGTATTTTCCCCGTGAGCGCGTGCTGTCGGCATCGGGTAAATAAACGTCTTTTCACTCACTCACTACAAAGGATATCACTCTAAACAGAACGTCATTGAGGCACCCTAGCCTTGAACGGTGCTTGCACTGCACGAGCGCGCGTGCTCGACAGGGACACTGAAAGCCCGGAGCTCTCTTGTGTAGCTTCTGTCGTGCTCACATTAAAACGGCCCATGAAACGATTTTAAAATCGAGAGAACGTGCATCTTATTACCCTTTTTTGTTTACTTTAGTGCAAGGACCATAAAACACGACCACTTCTCTCGAAATGTCGGGAATGCGCTGCGTAACCACAAAAAAAGGAACTATTTCTTGACTTGATTTCACGTACGACGGCCATAGCAACTAACTTTGTGACGTCACGGCAGCAGTCAACGATGAAGAAGGCTGGATGCCCTACACCAGACAAAAACCGCAGAGGAAAATAGAACCCTCGCAGCTCCGCACCGAACGGATAAGTCGGCCCCGTTACATCCTCTCGATTAGGCCACTGAATAAGACGCATGTACATAATATACCAAAGGAGGCCAATACGACGGCCCTAGAACTTACGGCGCGGAACTGGCAAATAGCAAATCTAGCTCTCTATCGTTACAATCCCATTGCGAACTGCGTAAAGGTGACAGTACGAGACGAGCAACACGCTGATAAACTCTCGAAGCTAACGACGCTCACAGATAAAGCGCAAGGCAAGGAACAAACCTATGCGGTACAGATAGAACGAATGCCAGATCGACAGCCTAAGGGAAGCAAGGGGGTCATCAAGGTTAGACGAGATCAGTCGCTGGACTACATTATGGACCACCTCTGATGTGAGACCGCTACCATTCTTGACGCCAAAAGACTCGGGAAAACCGATATGCAGCTCATCACCTTCGACACTGAGAAGCCTCCCTATAAGATTGGCTTCGATTACGAACTAGTAAGGGTGTACGACTACCGCCCCAAGCACATAGTGTGCTTCAACTGTCACGGGCTGGACCACATTGCCAAGCACTGTCCCGAGGACTCGGTTTGCCGAGACTGTGGTCGTTCCCAGCATCCCCCGGATCCCGATTGCATAGGGAACCTTTTCTGCGTCGCCTGCCAAAAGCCCGGCCACATCTCGCTGAACTCGGCCTGTCCGAGCAGACTTATTCAGGCACCCCCAGAAGCTACGACTCGTAACGAGAACTCTAAGACGGTGACATGGGCAAAGTAGCTAAGTCCAAAACTACTTCGGATAAGCCAAAGTCGCAGGTAAATGAATATCAAAGACAAATCGATGAACTGCGCCGCGAAAACCAACAGCTGCGTATCAAACTGGAGCAGCTGGCGACGCAGTTGTCAACACAATCTTCTGTGAGTGGGGAAGTTGTGACGGAAAACACTTCGAGTACAACGCAGAGAATACCTCGAAGCAGAACTCGCACACCGAGAGCACGTAGCAGCATTCCAAAGAGACGGCCTGTGCCCAAGGTGCCCATGCCAACGAACGATATGTCCATCGTCCAAATTCTAGGCATCCTCCGGCAAGAGAGACACACAGAATCACGCAAACTTGAAAACAGTTTCCGAGAGGAACTCACGACATTAAGGCTGCGGTCCCACGGCAGCCATCTTGAACAAGGCGTTAGTTCAACCAATAGATGGCGACACGCACCCGTGGGGTGGCCGAAACATTGGTTCACAGTGGGATGGCTCGAGCACCATCACGTTCCCCTCGTGGCCTTGCTCGCGCCGCTGCCAGCTGTGCTCAGCTAGCTCAAGTAGCGTGGCCCAGCAAACGGATGTATGCCAGAATGTCAGGCTGGGTATCAATTGTTCTCTGATATAGGGACATACGGTTCGGTGGTTGTAACGGGCTTTCGCAATAAATCTTACCAAGAAGGAATCAATTGATTGACGTGTCAATATTCTATCAATGAAAATTTCCTCTGTAGGAATGCACGCTCAGTAGACTCAACCAGTGGAAGCGGACGTCAAGTAAACTGCTTCGAGATTTACGGTACTTACCTCACCATTTTAATGACGACTAAAATAACGTCACGAAATATTGTGTTTCACGGGGTCCGGTAGATGTTGTAAAGGTTGTTACATTATAGTTCCCGGAAAACAAACGCCGTTGCAATATTTTCGGAAGTACCGACACACATAATGTTGTAAGTACAGCTTAGAAAAACCATCAGAAGAAATAGAAAGACGTTTATTTGCAATGAAGACGCTATGAATGAACGGCGTTTAGCGACGGCAAGTTATGAGCGTTCGGGAATTTCTAAGTTGACGTGATTGCTAACTATAGACATGCGAACAATGAAGACCAGTTTTGTCGGAAAGTGGTGTTGCGGTGATGACCTGATATCGGACGACTCATAGCAGACGAACAAGCAAGTTTCTTCTCAGCGAATGGTAAGTGCCCAGTGTCAAGCACAACACGTGGCTACCAACGTTGTCGACGTTTCGAACACTTGGCGCTTTCGACAAAAGTCCTGGCACCTGGGCTAACTTTGTGGAAAGACTCGAAGTCTTCCTTGAATCCAACGCCATCATGAACAGTAACTGAAAACGATCCACTATTCAGTCGGTGGGTGGCGAAACGTAACCATCTATGGAGTCATGGGCGATGCGTGCTCTAAGTGGCTGGAAGTTTACACGATGCCTGCCACGACGTCCAAACACGTCATTGACGTTCTACGGTCTCTTTTCCTACTTTTGCCCTACCGAAAATACTTTTCTTTAATAACGCGCAAAATTTTGCTTCAAATAAAATAAACAAGTTTTTGAAGAAAACAAACCGGCATGAGGCATCACATTAGTGCACCATACCATCCTGCAACTAACGCGCAAGCAGAGCAGATGATGTGCGAAACGAAAAAAAAAGCCCTTTTGAAGCTTACAGAAGAAGCAGTTCAGTGAAGATTCGCCAGGTTCTTGTTCCGGCTGCACGCGACGGTCTCATCTTACACGAAAAACAAAAACCCGCCGAAGCAATATTCGGCGGACGAAGAGCCACACCCCTCGATCTCATATTACTGTAGCCTACGAACAAAGATCGAGAGATTCCCAGATAGAGAGTAGTGGCAGTTTAATCGGTCGGACAACTCGTCTACGTGAGGAATTTCAGCGGAAGTGGGGCCTTCCATGTAAAACTTGAGTAGAAAAGGCTCTATGTTGGTTGACCAGGAGGTGTCACCTCTCTGAATATGTTGGATATCAATTACCTTCAGTGTAAATATAACTAAATCACAAAACTCTCTTTGTGTATTGTTTAACTGCCCTTGTATTTGATAGTAGAAGCTATAGTGGTGATATGGACCTTTCACACCAGGCTCCTTTTTCTTATTTTTCGCCTCATACTCCTTTGCGGTTTAAGTATGCTTCAAGAATCTTTTGGAACGGGGGCACTTTACATCAACGAGGCCATTTGTTCCAAGTAGTCAATCAGGGAATGCTGCTAGAAATCCGTCCCTCATATTAACGAATAAGCCGCACTTCTGCACAGTGCAGTTTTCCTGTTCAACGTACAGTTGTAAAGCAGCATCCTCATTGATTCTACCTTATACTGTTGCGGGTGAAGAAAGTCTTTGGGTGCACGATACTTCAAACAAATCTGGCACTGTACGTTGTGGTTCGACACCCAGTAATGTCGTCGTCCGTATGGAGCCTCATGATGATGATGATTAACTTTATTTTCAAAAAGGGTGGCGCCATGGCCTCATTGGGGGAAGGGGAACATAGGTAGGAAAACTTTACATTCGGCGGTGCACTCCTGTCGAGCGCGCGAACTCCCATAGGGAGATCAGCGTCTCCCTGGCCCGTGCCTCGTTAACCGGTGTGATCCAAGCCTCTAAAGTGTCGATGTGAGGCCCCAGGTGTTCGGCTCTTTTGTCTCGCAAGCCGGCACAATCCCAGAGTAAGTGTCGGATCGTCGGGCACACGCCGGCGGTGCATGTAGTGCAGACGACAAGTGCAGCGGGCTCGGACCCTTCCGGTGGCACTTGGTCGGGTGGGCGGCCCCTCCGTGGTTTGTAGCTACGCCACCGAGCGAGTATGTCTTCGGTGAGCGCAGCTCCGGTGCGGGCCTTGTGAATTAACACTTGTGCCCCTCTGGGTAAACCCTTGGGTAGCGGTGCCGGGTTGTAGGGTGTTTGATCTCGCAGCCGACGCTGATCCTCTTGTCGGGCCGCAGATTTCTTCTCTATGGGGTCTGGGTCCGGCGGCGCGAAGGGGACGAAGATCCCTGGGTTGGAGCGGTCTTCCTTTTGCTCGCTCGCCCACGCGTGTGCGGCCTCGTTGCCGATGCCGCCCGCGTGTCCCGGGACCCAGTCCACTCTCACCTCAATACCTTTGGTGTTTTTCAAATACGAGCACAGACTCTTGATTCGCTGGCAGAGCGTCCCTTCGCGAGGAGTTTTCCCCAGACGGGCAAGGGCTTCCCTACAATCCGTGAAGACGGTTACACGGGTGGGTACGTCCACTGGGTCGAATGTCTCTCTTATTCGAGATAGTGCCAGGTGTATTGCATCCAGTTCGAGGCGGCTCGTGCTAGGTTCGCTGTCGTATTGAAGTGTCTGAGCATATCGGTCCTGGCCAGTAGCGTAGGCGAGTGTGGCCCGCTTCGTCTCTTGGCACCATGCGGCGTCTGTGAAGACCGCGTGTTCCACGAGGTCTGCCCGCGCAGCAAGTGCAGCTCTTTCTTCTGAATGTTCTTCGCGGTGTTGTTTGCGAGTGAGCGGCTTGGGGTTTCTGACCATAATGTCCTCCCATGGTGGCATGCTCTTCGGAGGCGGGGCCTCTCCTACGGGAGGCCGCCAACCCTGTAAATCCAGAAGACGTTGACCGGCTCTAGTCGATGTCCGGCGCCGCTGATGGCCGGCAACGCGGGTCTCAATGATGGCTTGTAGAGTCGGAAGATTCGAGTACCGATACAGCTCTTCCGTCTTAGTGTGTCTTGGGAGACCGGTGATTGCACGCAGGCATTCACGATGCAATATTTCCAGCTGTTTGAGCTGCGCCTTGGTCAGGACGAAACATGCGGCTCCATAGCAGGCTTTTGAGGTCAGGACTGCTTGAGTGAGCAAGCGGATGGTGCGCGTGCCCGCGCCACCGAGGCGGTTGCCCATTCTCTTAATGAGTTGGAGCTGTTGTCGCCACTTGGGTTTGAGTTGCTTGATCCACTCTTGCGCTCCTCCTTGTTCGTGCAGTGGGACTCCCAATATGCGAATCCAGCGTTCGGGGGAGCGCTGAATGGACTGGCCGGCCAGGGTCAGGTGTATTTGAGCTCTGTTGTGCTCAAGACCGCCGACGATGAGGAAGGCTGTCTTCTCTGGGGAAGGTTGCATGCCCGTAGTTGGCAGGCACTGGTCAATGGCATCTAGGGCCGTCTGCATGGTTTCGACCGTTTCTTTAGTGTCGAGCTTTGTGTTTCGGGGGTCCACCCAAAGGGTGATGTCGTCCGCATAAGTTGTGTGCTGAAGGTGTGGGACGGCGCGCAACACTCTTGCTATTTTTCTCATGACCAAGTTGAAAAGGGTCGGCGAAAGGATGGCTCCTTGAGGTACTCCACGGAAATTCTGGAACATGCGGGGTTGCTGGGCGCCCGAGCTGATCTCAAAGGTACGATTCTTGAGGAAGCTTTTCACGAAATTGATTATGCGGGTGCCTGCGCCACTCTCTTCGAGTTCCTCGATCACTGCCGAATGCTCGACGGTGTCAAAAGCTTTCCGGAGATCCACTGCCACCAGGAGTCCGGGTACCTTGTTGGTTCCTCGGCGCCTCTTACCCACAAAGTTTCGGAGGAGGTGTAGGCTGTCGTGGGTGCACAGTCCGGGGCGAAAACCAGTCTGCGCAGCGTCGTAGTAAGGGTCGTCCCTGGCTTCTTCCAAGACATAAGTGAGTCGCGTAAGGATCATCCGTTCGAGTAGCTTGCATAGCGTAGATGTAAGTGAGATTGGTCGGAGGTTCTGTATTTGATCCGGACTCTTTCCTGGTTTCGGAATAGGGTACACCACTGAATGTTTCCAGTCGGCCGGTAGTACTCCTGACGCCCAGACGTCGTTAAGTTCTTTCAGGAGCTTTCGTTTCTCCGGCTCGTCCAGGTTGCGCAGCATGCGCCACGTGATTCCATCCTTGCCAGGGGCGCTGCGCTCGTTGACAGAGTCCAAGGCCAGTGTCAATTCTTGAATCGTGAACGGGGCGTCTTGTTCTGTGTTGCTCGGCGGTTGCAGTTCGTACAGGCACAGGTCCGGATCGTTAGCAGGTTGTGGGAAAAAGGCCTTGGCGGCCGCTTCCTCAAACTGCTCCGGAGTTTGGTCGGTGGCTAGCTGGATGTTGCGAGCAGTGTTGGGCGCCTTGGTCTTGCCGGTCAAGGCTCTGTGGGCGCGCCATAGCTTGCGGGTGCCAGTTCGTTCGTCAAACGTCGCGCAGTGGTCAAGCCACCTCGAGCGAGCCAGGCGTTTGGCATATCTACGTGCCTGTGCCGTCTTGTTGCGCAAACGCACTAGGTCCTTGAATCGTTTGCCGTTGTTAAGATATATCTTGTGGAGCCGCTTGCGTGCTTCCCACAGGTTGATTAGATGTTTGTCGGGAACCGGGTCTTGGTCTTCCACCTCCAGGTTTCGCGTGGCCGCTTGCGCTGCCCTCAGTAATTTTGCGGTTACGGGAACCGCGTCTTCGCACGTGGCCACCGCCTTTCGGAAGGCGTCCCAGTCGATAGCCTGAGTTAAACGTCTGCGCCCTGCTTTGCCGCCGGTTGAGAGCTCCAGCCAGATGGGATAGTGGTCGGACCCCATAGGGTCCGGTCCGCACCGCCAGTCGGTCACCAGTCGGGAGTCTGCCCAGGTCAGGTCCGGGGTGGTGTCTCGCTGTCCCTCGTGCAGTCCGTGGCGCGTTGGGTAGTCGAGGTCGTTGGCCAGAGTGAGGTGCGCCAACTCCGCTGCCTCCTTTAGCCGCGCGCCCCTGGCGTTAGCAATCGAGTACCCCCAGTCCGGGTGGTGCGCGTTAAAATCGCCCGCCGCGAGCAGGCGGTCACGGGGGTAGCGCTGCCGGAGGTCCATCAGCCATTGGAAGCCGGCTTGTCCAGCGTGGCCGCGCCTGGAACAGCTTGACTCAGGTCTCGCGTAGCAGGAGGTTAGGATGACCCGGTGACGTCCAAGCGTGCAGCGAACCGCCACCACCTCCTGGAACGGGTTGCAGTAAGCCGTCGTATCTATTTGTACCTGTGGGAGGCCCTTGCGCACAAACACCGCAGCTTGTGCTTCAATGGTCTGAGATGTGTCACTTGATCCGCCTCTTAGTCCGTGTTCAATCGTTGGTTGGAAGTATCCGTTGAAGCCCGAGATGCCCGGACTCATCCCCCGTGTCTCCTGCAGCAGAAGCGCCGCCGGCCTTCCGGTTAGGCGGAAGAGCTCGACGAGCTCGGCAGCGCTCTGACGTAGCGAGCGGCAGTGCCACTGCAGGAGGTCGGGAGGACGCTCAGGCGGTGGGTGCGCCGAGCTGCTGTTCAGTGGAGGTTGGTTGCGGCTGGTGCAGGCTGGGTCCATGTTGGCTAAGTATGGGGGAGAACATCTGAGCGACCTGTTGTGCGACCATTTGAGTCACCTGTTGGAGGAACTGCTGCGTTTGTTGTTGTTGTTGCATTTGTATTTGCTGCTGCATCTGCTGTATTTGTTTCATTTGCTCTGCTTGCTGCTGTTGCTGCTGTATGAGTTGTTGTATCCATACCGGCGGCTCGTTAGAGTTCTGGGTTGCTGCCTGGTGCTGGGGTGCAGGTACGTGGGATTGCTTTCTTGCCTGCTGTCGTGTGGATGAAGTATTTCCAGATGGTGTGCGACACCGCCCAGGTGAAAGGGACTGGCGTCGCTTGCTTTTCTCAAGGAGCTCGGTTTCCAATCTCTCTTCTTCCTCAACTTCAAAGTGCAGCGCCTGGAGCCGATCTGCTCGTGATTTCTGCCGTTGATTGCGTTTGCACTTGACTTGTTCCATTGTACGCTGAATTTCTTTCAGTTGTTGTTCCAGACGTTTCATAGTGCTATCGAAATCGGCTTGATCGCGGTCTTGCTCGACCTGGAGTGTCTCAAGCATCTGGCGTGCATTTGGGCTGCGACCGCCCTTGAGACCTCTCGCAGTTATATCGGCGTAGGAGTGGAGCGGATCCTGGATCTGAACCTTGCTCGACCCGCGCAGCTGGGAGGTAGTACTCTTGGAACCGCGACGTGAGTTAGTGGTGCCAGAGGGTTGCTTGGATCGCTGCCTGCGCTTGCGCGAGCGGCTCCGTGCCAGTCTTTCTTGTTTGGCTCCTTCCCTTTGTTTCGCGCGCTGAGCGAATTGAGCTCGAGCGGGACAAGAGGGATCAGTAGCCACGTGTCCATCCTGTTTACAATGACCGCAGTACTTGGCCTCGCCATTCGGGCAGGCTTCCGGGGGTTGCTCGTGTTGTTTTCCGCAGTTGCTGCAGACCGGCTGGTTAATCGGGCAGCTGGTGGCTTTATGTCCCGGGCGGTGACAGCGCGGGCACACGAGAGATCGCTGTTCGTAGCATTCCACCCTTCTCGGGAAGCTCCAATACATAACTTCGCGTGGCGGATGCGGAGATGCAAAGTGGATGAGGAGTGTACCTTTGGAGCCCATAGGCCGGGCCGTCAGGACATCCACTCCGTCGGCGTACAGCGCCTCTAGAAGCTTAGCCGTGGGTTCGTTGGGTTTGCAGCCATGGATTACTCCCCGGGAGATACCGTCCGTGGGAACTTGGTGCGTACGCACCGGGAGTGGTGGTCTCGATCGCAAAGGTAACACACCCATACGGAGGAGATGCGTGGCCTGCGTGGAGTCGCACGTAGTAACGACGATGGTATTAGAGAGTTTGCTCACCCTCAGTATCTGATGTTTGAGCAACTTGGGGTCACCGGCGAAGGAGCTGATAACGGACTTCAGCTCTTCTGGGTCTAAGCCCAATACGTCGCATCTTTCTGTGGGCTGTATCTTGATTACATGGGTGCCGAGAGTTACACGTTCCTTGCGGCTTGTGGTGGGTAGGGGTTGGCCCGATGCCTTGAGTTGCGCTCGGCGCTGGGTTCTCGTTGTAGCCTTTTCCCAAATTCCCTCCAAGTCAGTGGCGTCCGGCTCTCGCGAAGCCCATGAAGCCTGGAGACTCGTGTCTGCGTCTTTAAGACTATCGTCGGACGAACGAAAACGCTTTGCATTATTGGACGGGCCGAAGTCCTCCGCGTCCTCGTCCATCTCTTGCGAGGGAGGGGGAGAGGTTTCGTACGAAGTGACAGCGGCATGATCCTGAGTAGCCTGCAGCAACTGCAGCCGCGGTGGCGCAACCAGAGGCGTCGTCATGTCCGGGAGTTAAAACTGCGTCGTGGGTCCGATGGGCCGGCGGCGCAACCGTCGCCGTGCCCTATTCCTTGCCGACCGCGGGGCCAGTAGGCTTAGCGCGGAGGGTTCAACGAAAGGCTCATAAAAGGTGAAAAAGGGCTCGAAATTGAGCAAAAAGTTGCTCACGGATGCGAGTAGAGCTCTCGAACCGCTGGTGAAATCAAAGAAGAGAAGAGATGAAACCAATTACATTCCAGTACAATTAGGAAAAGGCCGCAGGAATGCCAGGAAACGATTCGGACCAGTCTTCTTCGTCTTTTTCTATGGAGCCTCATCAAATAATAATTACCTCGTCACCTCATATTGCTCTTCATCAACAGTACGTACAATAGGCTACCGCCATATTACAATCCAAGAATTGAAAAATTTAGTCGTTCAGTCCTTCAACAAGTTTAGTATTTATACATTGTTATTAAGTTACATTACCTCGAGACGATCGACGTCCATCGTCGATCTTCAAATACTTATAGACGCTTTACAGCAGCTGTGCATGGGCGCCGCCATAACTGACCTTCAGTTTTTGTTCCCTCTTATTCCGTTCGCTTCACTTCATCATTACCACAGTAGGACAGGTTATTGCAATTTTAGATGCTACTGTGTTCTTGTGCCCAGCATAGGCCCTTGTGAAGACCCGTCAACGCCCGCTTCAGTGGCTCGGCATCTCGGTAAGACAAGAGAAGGGCAGCTATGGCGGCTCAATCTGGCGCGTGTGTAAAGCGTCTATACCTGTATATAAATTAGACGCACAAGAAGGGGGGGGGGGGGGGGGGGGGTCGGTGGCCGAGTGCATGGTCTAGCGCACACCAGCTCGGAGCACTTGGAGCGAAAGCTCGCGCTGCAGAACCCACCCCGCCCCTGCCCGTTTCGATCTGGAAGAGCATCGTACCGGCGTGCGGTCGTGTATCACTACTGCGTGGTCCACGTTAAAGACCCCAGGTTTGCGGCTGTACCGCACTGGCTAAATTGTTCATCTACAGCTGAGACACCAGACGCCCACTAAGGCAGACTAACTTCCGGCTGTATAAACATACACACAACAATTTGCAATTAGACGCATAATAACAAAGAACACAGCGTGCCGCATCTTCTCTTTTGGTGCCTTTTTTTTTTTAAACCAGCGCAAGCTCGTGCATTCTTTCTTTTGAGACGGTTAGAACGGTCGCACATAAAACAAGCGTTTCTCCTACCCGCCCGCTTCCTCCTCTCATTACGTGTATTTTGTTATAACTATATAAGCTATAATGATGGAGTATTATTCATATTTACTTTCAGTTTCAGTCAGGGAAAAGGAGTTTCGCGGGAACTAGAGCCAATAAATGAGCTGCGCTTAGAGTATCGGCACTCTTTTCCCCGACAGTGTTGTGAACGCCGCCATTTTGTTGCTTGTGCAGAGCACGCGCAACTGCCGATCGTCATGATTCAAAAGTGCGACGTCCTCAGCATTAGATTCGGTGTTAGGAAGCTCATGTAATGTTGCTTTGCTTTGTCGAAAACTGTTTAAAGTGGAGGACGGAAAAGCGTTTCTTGTGATTTCAGATAAAGCTTAAATAACTGGCAACCATGATTTTAAGCCACAATAAGGCCAAGTGTCGCTACTCTGAAGCGTAGCTTATTTAATGACACTATTCATGCTCTTGTTCAAGAGGCTTGTAATACCTGGAGGGGCCATGACGTAAGCCCCGTGAATTCCACAAGCCACTACCTTTTGACACCCGCCTCTTCTTCATTGTTCCCGCTTGTGCCAGTAAATTAGCTTGCGGTTCCGAGTAATGACACTTGACTTAAAATTGTGGCTTAAAATCCTGGTTGCCAGTTAGGTGGAGCTTTATCTAAAATCACAGGAAACGCTTTTCCGTCCCTCACAAATGATTAAACAACCCGCGACAGAGCATTTCAATATTGCATCAGCTTCCTAGCACCGCATCTAACGCTGAGGAAGTCGTACTTTTGGATCATGATGATCGGCAGTTGCGTTTGCTCTGAGCAAGACCCGAAATGGCGGCGCCCAAACCAATTTTGGGGAACTGAGTGCCTATAATTTAAAGCTCATGTAGTAACTCTAGGCATAAAGTGAACTCGGGTGCATTATTTCGTCTTTATTGTTTATTGATTTCAATCATATCGAATAAGGAACGCATTATATCACGCTACGCTTGTGTAATTATTTGTCTTAGATTTATTAGCCTGACCCAATACTTAAACCATTCATTTGTCGATAGTAAATCTTCCAATATATTTTTTTAAATGTGAAGGTAAAAAGACACGGAGATTGATGATGATACAGATGCCAACGCCGCCCTCGGAAATTTTGTGAACACTAGAAATCAGCAGTTTGTCTGCCATCCGCCAGGTAGCGCAACAAAACACCCAAACAGTTTTTAATTGTTTTTAAAATTAGCTAAGCTCTACACCTATTAAGAAACCAAAGCAAGATCATTGTGAAAATTTAATACATCGCAATGTATATCTATTCCAAACAATAAATGTTATTAAATGCCAATAAATCTGTTTGATGTCCAAAACAGATATGCGTCAAAAACAGGTAAGTTTGAAGGGCTCCTGGAGCGTTATGACTTTGAAAATGAAAAAAAGCCATCGTCCATCTCTTGGGCAACCATTGTAGCTCTAAATGTTATAAAAGATTTTATCGTAGTTTAATTATTTCTTCAGCGGCATTTGAACCACCATGACTCGAAGCACAAAAAAGTGCTACGTTTGATATAAAATATCTAAACAAAAAAATTTTACACAACATTACATTTTTTTCTGCATATTACGAATTATAAGCACTACATCTGTAGCTAATTTTATTGCCCTAGCGCTTGTCATTAAAAACATATATGTGCTGAAAAATGTCAATTTTAGGGCAATATTTGGAGGGATGAAAAAAACAAAATAGTGCAAATATCAAAAAAGTGGATCGTTAGATTCTGCTCCGACATCATCTTAACAAAACTGCTATATTGGAACAGTGCTATCTTTAATGGATCGTTCATAAAACATGAACTAGCGGAGCAAGTGAGGGTCCGCGCCATCATATTCGCAACGCTACAAATGCGCATGAACAGTAAAAACCAACACATACATAATATCAAATGAAAGAGGATTGCATTGCCTTTCGAATGACATCAATCCCACAAAACAGTATTTAAATGGAGATGAGTAATGGCCTGCCAAAAAGTACCTAAACTGCCACATTCAGTGGAACCGTGGCCTTAACCTCTACCGTCCATGAACAGCTAGAGGCAGTAATGACAGAACTCCGACAAATCACACAGAGGGACGACGTGAAACGACGCAATCTTCCCACTGAGGGGAAATGAGCACGTCACTTACCTGCCTTCTATGGAACTGCAGAAGTTACATCGAGACCGGAACAACACTCAGGGGACGTGTAACCCACCTACAACCGATTGCGATTTTTTTACAAGAAACACGAGGCCCATGCCATATTCAAGGATACAATACAATCCAACACAATACGATTTTACACTTAGATCCTGTCACACAACAACCAAGAGCTCAGGGTCAAGCGGCCCTACTGACCAGACGGGACTGTACTTCGATTGAACTCCCCCTTCCCAATATCAGCAACGAGTACCGCGAAGTGATCGCCGCCAAAATACAACCCCCTGGGCAGCAACCATTTGTTGCTGTTTGCGTCTACTACAGGCCAAACACAGGGAGAGCACGACAGGATGACTTTCAGTGGGTACGAGACATCCAACAACGGGCGGGTTCCCACCCCATCATAATTGGGGGTGATTTTAATGCCCAACACCCCGCATGGGGCTACCGCAAAGCAGACCCCAAAGGCAATGCCCTTCACGACGCCATGGAAATGTCCGCTCTCGATTTGGTTAATGGCCCTGACACGGCCACAAGAGTGGGGCTGCACTCCCGACAGTGCGACACCACACCGGACCTTTGCGACTCCAAGATGTGTCCGTAAAAGGGACACAATGTCCATCGCCTGGGGCAGTGATCACTATCCGATCCTCATTACCCTTAACCGCAAGAAGATGCGAAAGTGAAGCGCGCACGCGCGTATCGACTGGAACATTTACCGCCAGCTTACGCAGCAACAGCCTTTCGATTCCTTCGAGCAGCTTGCCAGCATATTATACAGCGCTAAGCGCGCGGCGTCAGAGATGATTGAATGCGACGAGGCAACAGCGTGCATGGACGCACACCTTGCAAACCTCTGGAAAAGAGTACATGAGCTCACGCACCGGTACCGCTATGGCGGTAAGCGCCACCGCGATCTCATGCAGCTTAAAAATCAGTATAAAACCATACAAGCCCACCAGCAGCTACTTGAGACGGAGACGTGGCACTCTACTTGCGCGAAGCTCGGAGAAATTCCTGGGCTTCAGCGCCTATGGGGCATTCTCCGCAGCATGCTCGGGAAGAAGAAAGGACAGCCCCCACTGAAAGGCCTTCTACTGCAAGGCAACCCAGTGGAGGTGGAAACGAAGGTAATACGGACCTTCTTCCCGCACGCTCGCGACATGGAGGGCAGCCTGAAGCCAGTTTCGCCAGGTACATGCTGGCGTTGCAATGGAGCGCATAACGCAAAAACGTGCCGCTTCGTTGGGGCGGTGTGCCACTTCTGTAATAACAAGGGCCACATTGTCGCTGCGTGCCGCCAAAAGGAGAGAGCCGAACGTCGACGGTCAGCAATCCGCAACAATAGGCTGGAGACGGTAGACCCATTGAAGAGAGACTACTGTGTCTTCGCCGTGGAACCACCCGTATTTTGCGATGTGGTAATCAACGGCTGCAATCTGCGGATGGAAGTTGACTCCGGGTTGGCTTTTACGGTTGTCAACCCGCGTGTGATGCGCCAGCTCCGCATTTCCAAAAGCAGCCTCAGGCCGTGTACCTTCCAGCTGCGCTCTTATACACGGCAGAGTCTTCGGATTCTCGGAAAAGCAACAGCGGACGTTTCCTTCAAGGGC